TTGGCTTACAGTTTCTCCACTGCCTGGCTCTGAGATTCTGTCTCTGGTTTTCCAGTCTCAGCTTCCTTTGATGGAAAACAGCACCTGCGGAGTGTGCCCGTGGTGAACAGCATTGGGTACGTCCTCCGCTTCCTTGCCAAGCTGTGCCGAAGCCTCCTGTGTGATGACCTTTTCAGCCACCAGCCCTTCCCCAGGTGCTCCAGCGCCTCTGAGAAAGCCCAGGAGAAGGAGGAAGGGAGGATGGAGTCAGGTAGGCTGCGTCCTGCTTCCTCCCGTCCTGAGGGTGACAGGTGAGGTGACTGCTGAGGGAGCTATGCTAGTTCCTGAGAGTTCTCCTCCGCAGGCCCATGGGCTGCCTGTCTGGGAGCCTGGGGAGCACTCAGGTCTGGCTGGGACTAAAAGCTACGTGATCCCAACCCCAGGCTGCAGTGGGATGTGGTCACTCCAGCTACTGAGAGCTGACATTATAGCCTTTAGGCCTGTGTTATGAGAATTTAGACAATGAGACGACATCACAGTGATTTTCTTCACTCTGCTCTAATTGAAACTCTGGGCATTTATTTGTCATTGTCGAGTAGCTGGACTACAAAACTAAGGAAGTAAGAAATCCCAAAGAAGCCAGGGCTGAAGAACGGGTGCTGCTGCTCCTCCCTGGGGTCAGATGCCTGCCCACGTGAATAAAAGGTGCTGCAAGTGCCTGTGACTGCAGGAGTTTGACTGGGACGTATGTCTAGTATGGCTTCCAGTGAGTGTTAGTATTTCTCCCAGGGGTCACTTTGCATCCTGTGATACTGCCAACCCCAGAATAGCTTGGGATGGTAGAGTGGCCAGGGGGCAGGGCAGCAAGGCCACACGGGCAAACTTGCCACTGTTGTGAGGCACCCTCTCACAAGAAATGCATTTACACACCACTCGTACAGAAAAGGGCAGTTTATATACTCTAGCTGGCCAGTGTCCATCTCCCAAGGTGCAACTGAGGAAGAACAGCCTCGGGCTTTGGTCTTGTGGGGTTTTTAAAGACAAAAACTACATCCCGTTGGAGCACAGATTTGTCCAGGTGCACAGAGCAAGCTAGGGAGCTATGTCACAGAGGCCGAGAATGAGCCGTTCAAGCAGTCAAGCATACAAGTTTTCATTGTGTATGTTCCCATGTGTGTATGGTTCCTGTTCCCATGTAATAGTTTACTGTGT